TTATAACTTCGTCACATTTATACGACGAAGTTGTAACTTCGTCGGTCGGTGTAACTTCGATACAACATATATATTCGATAGATTTTCTTTTCCCATCAGTATTATTTCAAAGCATGCATTTGATTTTCTACTTGTTGACATTCATATATCTTTAATGCATATATTGTAAAGATATTCTCTACATGCATTTTTTCAATCTTTGACATTATATTATGAAAGACAATGTTTCTTTTATGAATAAAATGGTCGTAGACAACATATATATTTGCTTCAAAATAAACAATCAATACGATGAAAATTCAATCGATGTGCATACTTAATATCTGTCTAAGTGCTATTATTCATAGTTCACAATGATAAATGTGATCATATATATTGTATAAAAAAAGATCAAATCATTATGATGATAATGTTTTAGAAAGTGAAAAAATTGATAAAATTCTGTAAAAAAAAGGATATTTGCTTTCACTGAATTTATTATTCAATCTCTATCGTTATTGAATCCATCTATAATAGTTCAAACTTTGATTGCTTCTTTTAACAACTTATAATGATAAGAACATCATTCAACACTCTTGTTAACATTGAATAAGCTTTAATATTTCTGCCCGTTGTACCTCTTTGATAACTCTTACTCGATTGTATTAGAAAGATTCGAAAAAAATGAAAAACATAAATAATTAATTTTTACCCTGAATTGTTTTTATTAAAGTTTTCAACTCTCAATGTATTATAGTTTTACAACGAGAAATATAAGTATCGACAAATAGAGAAATGTAACAGTTTAATATTATCAAAGCCACAAATAAAGTATTGATTCATCATATTTTATCAATGGGTTATAACACTCCATTCGATAAGCACGCGTACCATTCTTCGAGAGATCGCGCATTTTTGAATACAGTTGATTTCCACATGCGAAACCACAGTGAAAAATGAGAAAATTCAATTTCGGCAGACCGTTTATAAGTATATGTAATGCTTCAGGAACTTGACTATTATGACTATTATAACAACTTAACTCTATGATTTGCAGATGTGGTAATTGCCTCACGATTAAAGAAGCAATGCCTATCATATCTGGATATTCCCAATTCGTATAAAGATTTAGCTTTTGTAATTCGTTTGACATGAGCATATTGCACAAAGAAGTATCATTGAGAAGATCGAGTAAACTTTGCTTATTCAAATCGGCGTCATATTTATAATTGAAGTGATAATACAGCTCTAGAGTACGTAAATTAATCATTTTCGATACTAACAAACGCAATTGATATATATCCAATAGATCAGCGACCACCAGTGAAGTAAATTGATGCCACGAAATAATAGTTGATAAATAAGAGAGATATTTGTCGTTTATTTCAGAATGTCTACCATCCATATAAATCTTATTGGTATAAACCAAACGATTATTCAAGATCGGCACAGTAGATGACCATCGACTTTGTCTAGATTTAGAAAAACACCATTTGTCGTAAGAAAAAAAAAAAGAAATTTTCTACATACCCGTAAACAATATTTTCGTTTAAATAGTTATCAACATATAAATATCTGTCAATTCGTGGTATCGTGAAAGCTTTAATACAATAACCATGATGATATAAAGATAATTCTAGTTCGATTGGTATTCGGCTTTGCAGTTGTCGAAACGTAGCTAACAAAATGACACTTGTGTCCGATAGTGATATCATAGTTTCCACATGCCATCTAACCATCAACATATATGAACATTGATGACAAAGCATAGATAGTAAATTGCGAACAACATCAGCTCCAGTTACAAATCCCAATAATGTAAAGTTCGTCAACGAAAATAAAACATCATGGTCAAATAATTGATCAAGTGGTTTCATATCATGAATATTATTTTTCAACGTTATTTTAAGACGCCGTAGATTGGGAACCAGACGTTTGTCAATCTTAGAGACTTGACTAAAATAAATTAACAAAAAACATTTTGCAACAATCATAAATACATGATATATTATTTGACTTTTTACTGAAACATACTATATTCCATCATTAATCTACACCATATCAAACAGTATCAATGTCCTGTTTACGTACAATATTTTCTATTTCTATATTCAAAATATTCTTCTCTTGATCATATAGAAACGATGGAATTTAAAAAAAGAAAACTTGTACAGAACAATTTTCTATCTCATCATTATGTGTATCAGATTCATCAAAGAACGAACTTTCTATTAAACTCAGCTTGTTTCTTCATCTAATTGCGTCTATTCACACTTATTTGGAACCTGTTCTTTCTTTGAAATCAACAGTATTTTCTATAAAACTCCTTTCTACAGCATCTATCCTTTGATTTCCAAATATATATTTGAGAAAAAGTTACGAAGAAAATCTTAAACAAGTTTATTAGTGGAACCTTAACAACTGATTTAAGATCACTATGAGTACATCTTCATATGTATTCTCAATCCATTTAATTATTTACTCTCAAATATCTACAGATGTGAACATTGTAGACTTGCAATAACAGAATAATAATGTGTCGCGTCAAAAAAAAAAATGGCGGTTTCTTTTCTTGTGTAAGCTGGCATTACAAGCCGATGATTGTTATTTTAGAAAATTATTTTATCAACACTAAACAAAAATATTTGAGTTTCAAGCTCGCTTTACATGATTAGCTTTCGAAAGTAAAGGATTAATGACGAATAGACTTTTTTTTCAATATAATGTCTTTTATCGTACGGTGCTTTCTTGTTTTTGTATAGAAACTTTTCTCTTTTTCGAAATTCTTCATCTTTGAATATTGCAAAAAATTTTTTTCAAAGAAAATCATTGGACATTGCAACTTATTTTATAATGTATCGTAGTACTTCCTCAAGAGCTAATCGATTTTTATTTAGCAGTAACTTTAAAGTTTTTTTATGTTCAATTATAATCTGTTCTATTATATGTCGAGTTTGAAATAGATGTCAACGGATGTACTTAAAACAAAAAAAAAGAAAAAAAAAAGAGAAGAGTTTTTCGATTAAATATATGCTGAGAAATACGACAATCATAATATCGATTATGAAAGACTCTATTTTTGCTATGATTAAAAAGAATTCATCATCCTTTTCTATTGAAAAAACAGTAAACTATATCTTAATCTCATCGGAAATAAAAGATGTTCTTCATTTCTAATTACATTCATCAATCTATAGGTGTACATAGAATTTCATGTATCTAACCAGTTTCAAAAAATCTCCTCATATTCATTGAGTTCTTTAAAAAAATCTTTGAAACAACTTATTTTCAACTACTAAACTTTTTCAAATTATCATCTTACAATTAAATACTTTAAAGTCAATTGAAATGGAAATTAGTGAAAAAGGATATTATCAATTCAGAAATGATTCACTTTCATCTATAATTTATTATAATATAATTGAATGAATTTACATATTTCATATTTTTTATACTAAGTTTAAGAAAAGAAACTTACTTGTTAACACCATTCATTAGTGGATGTTTATCAGGTAGCCAAGGAGTAGTTAGACCAAAGCTGAGATCTTGCAATTGTGGAAGATGTTCAAGTAAATGTAACAGAAAGGCTGGTGAACATTCTCGAATTACAATTGATTGTAAGTTAAAAAGGCTTGTTTCAATTGGCATGAAAACTTCATCAAATGGTAGAACTATTTGATTGTCTAGAGTGTCGTATATGCATCGCCAGAAACGTAGATCACATACACGTAAAAAAGGAAATAAGTGAAAGATTTGTTCATAATATGCACCTTCAGGAATACCTACAAACGTATAAGCAGCATGAGAGTAAGTTGAAAATCGTATTGCAAACATGATGAGAGGAGTATTGGGTGAGAATGCATTAATAATCAATTCGAAAGAAGAACGTTTAATGTCGATTAAGGATAAATGACGAAGATTGTTGAATGTAGATACATGTGATGCTAACCATAATCCATTATCAAAAGCAAATTCATTTGAAATACATAATGAAATAAGACGATGACATATGTTTGATTGTGATAAATGTGTGTAATAGAATTCAGTTACTGTTATACTCATTGCATTTAGACCCAAATAAACAGGCATAAGTGGCATGTTATTAACAATAGCAGCAAATCGAGAATTGAGATTAGAAAAAATATTGAATACTTCATGAAACTGAAAATAAATAAATATTTCATGAAACAACTCGACTGAAAGATCTTCTAATTTTGTTATTGTCATATTTTGTTTTAATATCAATCTATCGAATGTTGTGCATCATCCTTTTTTAATAGCTTCATAAACAATAATACAAAGCGTTATTGTTCTTTCTGCCGGCAATCGATGCTATAAAAACGATGTCATTATTTTTATTCGTCAGCTTCATAAGCCAACGTATATACAATTTTTATTTCTTTTTCTTTCGGCTACTTTCTCTTTAGCAACGATTATTAGACATGTCATAAAATTAAAATAAACTTACAAGATTATCAACTGTATCTTGTAATTCTCGAGCTTGATCTTCAAGTGATAGATTTTTAGTTGTTAAGATATCAACCATTTGTTGTGCACCCAAACATGTATCAACCTATAGATGAAGAAAAGTTATATTTACTCGCCAAATACGTTACCAGCTAATGGTTAGTAATGTACCAGCTCTGAGAACATGATGTCAAAGATGACAGTTTTTCTGCTTTATCCAAAGCTGTAATACAAAACAAAGGTTTCGCAATTGATCGAACATTTGCATTTCATTGTTTTTGTTTTACATTAGACAAAACGTTAGAATAGCTTCGGGAAGAACGTTTAAAGTTGGATACAATTGGCATGAAGAATTGTTAGAAGTTTGATAATTCTCAATATTGCCCATAGGTTTTTTGTAAGCAGGAATAAACCAAATTCTTGAATTTCTAATCGAAATTCAGAATATTTCCATCATTGAAAGCTATTGGACTCCTCGTGGTTGTTCGCCCCAGTTGTGATCAGCTTTGAACACTCTTTCGCAGACTATTCGTAGGTTTTGTCTAATGCACAACATAGGTCTCAAAACCAGTTGAAATTGGTCAAAAAAAAACAGCAAACAAATGCGAATTTTCGATCAACTCCAAAACCTTTGTTTTGTATTCTATGAATTTCCACTATAGCTTCGAATAGACCAAAAACAGTATCCCTAAGTAACGGAAACTTTGCGAGCTAATCACGGAAAAGTTATTTTTTTTTATAAAGTTTGAATAAAGGCTTTCGGGATCGAGGAATCCGAGTTTCAAATCAGTGATTGGAAATTTTTGAATTTGATTTTAATCATTATTTTTGTAAAATAGTCTTTCCTTGATAAACTCGCAAATTTTTCGTTACACGGTAACTTACAACTCTTAAAGGATAGAAACAGTCATGGATCTTTAAAATAATCGGACGACTAAAATAAACTGTTTATTGCAACTGTGAGATAATTCTCAACTCACCCTTTATCGTCACATCGGTGTCTCTAGTAAGTAGTCATGTAAAAAACGTTTATCCTCATTACAGATTCAATCTATTCTTCTGGATAAAGTAGATATTGTTGGCAAAATTGTAAAGAGTTTCTTTTTGTCGAATGCGAGAACGAGCCATTTTTCAAAATTGATTCAAAATTTCTGGAGCACCATTTATCTCAAAAAAAGAGCCATTGATTTCGGTTCAAACGACCGAAAATTCAGGAAATGCAAAGAACATTGCTGGAATCTAATGAAAATTGTAAAAAGATAAGTTCTTCTGTTGTTATCGGATAGAACTAAAAAAATTTTAGGCATCATTAACCGAAATATGCACTCGTTGGCACATCTGACTAAAACTTAAACTGGTTCTAAAAAATTTACTACTTCAAAATTAGAAAATTTCACATCGACGTATTAGCTAATGTTCGAGTAGTTTTTCGGTTATCGATTCAATTCAAGTAATAAAATGCCAGACATGGTTTACAGGAACTCATTTGGATTGCAGTGAATATATTATTTTATGACACAATGAACACAGTGATATACTTTTTTATATCGGAACTATATTCGAAAAGGCTAGCAGTAGACAAAAATTTTTCATTTTGATACTCGCATCTAAATTAATGTTCTTGAATTTTAAATGAAGACTTAATTAAAAAACTTCTAACGCCACAATCGAACTCGACAGATTTCTAGATTTGAATATAGTTCTTTATCATTAAAGTAAAGATTTGACACATAAAATCCATTAAAAAACTTAACTAGTGAAGAGTTGTAAAAAACGTAACGATATTCAGCAAAATCCGCATTAAGAGAAAATGCAAAATAGCTCATTCTTATTATAAAATCATGAAGATTAATTTTGTTCAAATAAGCAGAATATAACAATATTCTTTTTCCACTAATAACTTATTTCGCTTTTGAAGTTTTTTTCAATGCTATTGTGTAATATTTTCGTTTTTAATTTATTGATCAAATAATTTACAATTATGTCATATTACATATTGTAAATTTACACACATTTGTAGTAGTCAAATCTCAACAAGTTAAAAAGTCGTGCATCAATTCAAAAGAAAAAAAGGCTGCGTAAAATACAATAAGCAAAAAGTTAAGAGTGTAAGCATCAAGTAATTAAATGAAAAAGTAAATCACTGAAAGCAAGGTCGGGAAATAAGTAGATAGGGCAAACTGCTATTTTGATAAATCTGAGAGTATTTCTTAGTATGTCTTTTCTTTATCTCGATCGTATTTTTCTCGTAGCAAAATATCATGATGAAATTTTCAAGGACAATTCTATGCAAGATTGATAGGTTGTTTTTATGCAGAAAATTTGCCTGCTATCATCAACAATAGACACACCCCTCTATTTTCTTATCGCACTAATAGATTCCAAAGGTCTCGAATAAACTACAAAATTTTACATTTTTAAAATAGATATCTAAGAAATACTTAAACTATGATAACAATGAAAAATTTTTTCTTGTAAGATTAATAGAATTCATCATAGTTAGAAAATTTTGAAGAAATCACTCAAACTAGATTAAAAGACAAAAGTAGCAATTGAATTTACATTACAGCACTGTCAAGGATTGAGTAAGAATATATAAAAAAAAAGCGAAAGTTCCACGTTGTCATGGGTATTTATCAAATAACTCTGAGTATGAAAGTGATAATAATTTGTATAAAAGAATATAAAAAACACAGGTACACACAAAATAATATGATATATATGAAATATCGAGAAATTATAAAACGGTAGGTATCATGCATGAATTATTCAGGAAGATTGTACTTGAGAAAAGTTATTATTTGGATGCTGAAATTAATAAGAAAAAAAAAGAAATGATAAGACAATTTGATTTTATTCAATTTCGAAAGCTTACGTTAAGAAAATATTCCATAACAATACTACTACCATTCTTAATTTTTTTTAATTCATCATAAAATTGACGAAATTCATTTCCAGCTGCTTCACGTAAGGCACTATCTTCTGATCTATTTGCATCAACAAAAATATAATCACCACGATTATTTAAAGTACAACCAAAAAGTGGTAATAAATTCAATGTTCCAGGCTAAAATACATCAAGATTCATACAATGTAATGAAAAACAAATGAAATATTTTCACAAACTTTATCGGCTAATTGTTGAATAATACTAGGATCAAGAAAAGGTGGTTTAGGTACACCTGGCTTAGTAAGATATACTATCGGAGTAAGTGCACGGAACAGAGAATCAAGATCTTCTTTTATCTATATAAAAAATCAAACATGTCATAATATAAGATTGAATAATGGATATAGAAACAATACATACACTTCCTACGCGAATATTATCTCTAATAATTGTTTCAGCCGGTATTATATGATAGGATGAGAATGGTCTTGTTGTTATGATCTATAATAAATCATATAATTGACATAATCATTAAGATCTTTATTTCTAAGAATTTACTGTATGAGAATTTTCTACCGAGCTAATATCTTGACCTTTAATCTTTTTTAATTCATCGTAAAATTGACGAAATTCATTTGCTATTTTCTCACGTTGATTTGTTTCTTCTGGTGAATTAGCATTAACAAATACATAATCACCTCGATTATTTGGAACCCAACCAAAAAGTTGTAATAAATTTAATGTAGCTGGCTATAATAAATAAATTATACATATTATAAATAATGAGAAAAACATTCAAACTTTATCTATCAAATGTTGTACAACGCCTGGATCAAGAAAAAGTGGTCTAGGTACTCCTGATTTTGTAATGAATAATATAGGAGTAAGTGCATGTATTAAAGCATCAATATCTTCTTTTACCTATATAGAAAAATAGAGAATTAAATTTATCGTTAAGACAAAAAAAAAATTCAATATATACATGACCAAGACGAATATTTTCTCTAATAATAGTTTGACTTGGTAAAATTTTGTATGTCAAAAATGGTAAAACTGCCATGATCTAGAAACAATCAAAATGAAAAAGTATAAAAATAATTGTTTAATCAATAATATAAACTAGTCTAGACGCTACATCGTTGCTTTCTATATTTTGGATAAAATATTATAAATGTGTTTTTGGTGCTTCGTTATCGTTATAATATAATGGCAGATAAAGAGACAGGGAGAAGATTTTTTTGCTCTACATATACTTCTTTTTTTTATCCCTTCGTTATTTTCTTACATTACTGTATTGCATTTATTATTAATGGAACAAGTAATTCAATACAGAAAACTTCAATTAACTTGATACAATAAAAGAATGTATCGATATTATGTTTTTGATAATCTTCAAGCTATTTATTGTTCGTTAATATGATCAACTATATTAATTATTCAAAAATAATAAAAAAAATCAGTATGTTTAGATTATTGACTATGGTATCAACTGTATCGAAACATGAGTAAGCGTCCTCAAAAAAAACAATACTCGACAATTATCAAAACAAATTAAGAATGTGACAAAATACTATCTCTTATGAAGTTTACGTTGACATATATCATAATTGTTATATGAAGATATCTCTATAATTCTGACACATTTATACAACATATTGGGTCATGTCAGATTAAAGAATGTTGAGTATAATATGACGACAGAAAAGTCAAGAGTTTATTAGTAATTCTTTAACACATTTTATCCTTTTTTATTTTTGATAATTGCATGTGTGAAAGAAGACGATGACAGAATAATTAGTTAATCTTCGTTAGTAAGACACAATTATCTATAGAAAAAAAAAATGCATCATTCTAGAATATTGGTGATAGATAAGAAAAAAACAAGAACGTCAGAAAAAAACAAGCATTTTGATATAAATAATAAACGATGTATCATATGAAAAAAAGCGAACGATTCTAAGAAATATTATATACATCAATAAAGATGTTATAAACAGAAATCTAATCTTCGTTGTAGATTTCTAAGGTTGAAAGTTTACTTATCTAGAATTATCAATAATTTTGAAATTTTGCTATTGCTTGAAATTATCTTACTCTAAATATATTTTGTCTAGAAGAAAACAGACGAAGACAATTTTTTTTTCTTTTGTCTTTTTTAAATATCTTACGACTGAGATGTATAGTTATTTCTAGTAGACAAATTTTATCTTTATCTAATCTCTACTCAATAATAATGATCATTAATTCCATACAGAAATAAAGGAATATGTGTTACTGATATCCACAATATTACTTGAGTTATGTGAATCAAAATCAATGTAATATAACATTATTACTTTTATTTTATCGTTTTGATATGACATAGAATGAATAAGTATATCACTAATGGAGTGTATTAAAATTTGTCTTTATTCTTTATAAGAATTATAGATTTTTATATGTTGGATTCGATGTTTGTAAAAAATCAATTTACTATATGAGAGATTGTATCAAAATGAAATCAATGTATTCTAATGAATATCAAAGAAAGGCAAATGTTGTCTTTTTTTTGGTAATATTATTGTATTAAGAATAAGAGAAAATTTGAGTCACTCAAATATTTATCATCATTATACTCCAGAATTACTCGAATATATTATCGATCAACAAACAAATAAAACTATTACTGGTTCTAACCAGTTTTTTTGTATACTCAGCTAGACGAATAAGATTGTGTCAATATTTGATACAGCTGATGAATCAAGTTTAATTGAAAAACAAATGCCGTTCATCACAAGTCAAACTATTAATGATAAACTTTTATTAAAAACTGTTAGTCTTGAGAATTGAATGCTAAGAATTGAATGTGATCTTTATATTATAAATAGTTGTACGAAATTATACATAGGGCATACCCAAAAGTTTTTACGGAGCTATATCAATTTCTTATAGAATGCTTGAAGAAATTTTGTTTTTATATAGACTGATAATAAAAATAAGGATCTATATTTCTACACTATTCGATCATTATTAATCTAATATCATAATAATAAAATTTCGATAAGAACTGTTTTTGTGTAAAACTTAACTAATAGATGAGACAGATTAAATTGATATACTTTACATTTCAATTTTCAATAATTTCTTATGTTGTGTGAACAAATAAGATATACCATAAGATGCAGCCTAAAAAGCTCTACAAATTACTTAAGACTGGTTATTTTATATACGAAATAAGAAAAAAGAAATTCCTCTTTGTATAGGAAAAAATGATCGCATAGGATTTTGCTTTTTTTGGAAACAAAACGTACGCAATTAAAATAAGTTTTACTGTGTAGATTGTAGAACTTTTTACGTTGGATCATGTGATTGATTTTGCTTTTTTTTTTACATAAAAGATATTAGGTGACAAAAAGATGAAATAATACAAAATGAATTAATCTTGTATCAAAAAAAATATCGTTTTCGCAATGTCGAAAATTGGTCACTGGAAATTTTACTCATTTTGAAAATAAAAAGTGCAACTAAAAACTAGGCTTTATTTTGTAGATAGTAGAGCTTTTCAGGCTGCATCTTATGGTATATTTTATTTGTTCACACAACGTAATAAATGGTTGAAAATTGAAATGCAAAGCATAGCCATAAAATCTGCCTCATCCGTTAGTTAAGCTTTACATAAAAATAGTTCTTATCAAAACTTTATTATTATAATATTAGATTAATAATGATCAAATAGTGTAGAAATGCACATCTTTGTTACTAATATCAGTCTATATAAAAAAAAATTTCTTCAGGCATTCTATAAGAAATTGATATAGCTCTGTAAAGACTTTTGGTATGCCCTAAGTATGATTGACTATTTTTTCTTGCATGTTATCTTTGTTCATTATTTATTATTGATTCGCTTTTTCAAAAATACTCGTTATTCCACTTAAATTCGCTAATGGTTCTATTTGTGCTTATTTATGTTTTTTGATATAATATATTCAAAATATTTGAAAATTGAAGAGCACATTTGTGAAATACTACAAAGAAAAACAAACGAGCATGACTCTTGCTTGACAGTAAAGAACTTCTCTTTAATAAAAATCGATTTTTGTGATGGTAATCAGTTTCAAAAAAACTGTAGCCCAATTGATTTTCAATTGCCCAATCCTATCCACTCCTCAAGATAACATCGCTGGTGAAACAGCCTATGACTTAACAAATGTCTAACTACTCTACTGTATAATATAAATACTGAATGTATTTTTGACAAAAATCACTCATTGGAATGCGGCTTTCTAAGAGAACCATAGTAAATACAAAATAGTGAAACACATGTTGTCCAATATTGTACATTTCTTTTTTAACAAATTCCAGAAAAGAACTAAGATAGTTTCTCATATGAAATAATATTATCTGTTTTGAATTTTAAAACACTAATTGTCATAAGAATTAAAAATTACATTTAAAAGTAATTTATTAAATCACTTGTAAAACTAAGTTGCAGTTTCAGCAACAAGCATATTATATTAGTGATTGAATATTATTTTCATCAATACAATGTTTTCCTTACTTGTCACGTTTTGATGTTTATCAGTCTTTCTTGCTCAAAAAAAAAGATTCATATGACTTATAATAATTCTAGAGATCTTATCATCGTGCAAATATCTCCAACGTACCACTAGATCATTTTCTCTAATTTGACGAAAAAAAAACATATTCAATAAAACATTTTATTACTCATATAAAAATTCAATATGCAATCAATATTTTTTTCAATATATTTATATGTATAACAACTAAGAGATGTTCATCTATTATAAGTTTTCCTAGAGTCTCCACATAAACTTTTATTATATTCTAATAAAAAGTAGAGAATCAAATAAAAATGACTCGTCTTGCTTTTCTTTTATTTATTCTTACTATTCTCTCACGTTCAATTAAAACAATAATATATCGACCAGTTGTTCTTATGCATGGTATCGTTGCATTTACTTCTGATATGAATGAACTAGCTGGTTGGCTTCGAACATCTTTTGCTGGAATTTATATTGTATCAATTGAAAAAGGAAATCATTTTGACGATTCATTTTTGTGGTCATTAGATAAACAAGCTGAACATTTTTGTACTAGAATTCGTAACGATATTCATCTTCAACAAGGTTTTAATATGCTTGAATTTTCTTAAAGTCTTATTGTACGAGGTACTATTGAACAATGCTCATTTCTTGTTTATAATTTAATAACATGAAGTGGTCTTCATTAAGGAATATTTGATATACCTTATCTTCTAAAATCTTCAGCTCGATTTCGTCAATTAATAACAAAATATGCATATGAAAAATTCATTCAAGATCGAATTAGTATTGCAAATTATTTAATGCGACATATATGGACTGAAAAACACAGACAATATTTTCGATTAAGGACGTTCTAGACTAGCCATATATAAGAAATTAATACTATGGTGAATGTTTTAAATACATAGGGTATGACAAAATTAGAAGACCTCCCACCTTAAATTCTGAGAACAATAAAGATTTCTCCAACTGAAGAAGGTTTCATTTCCGATCTAACGTCATATTCATAGATACATAGTAGCAGTCTATCGTGTACCATATTGGTTTGAATTTGATCAATTGTCATTAATGAATAAATTCAAAAACTTTCGAATTTCAACTGCGGCATAATTATGAGACTTTCCTCCTTCCTAAATATAAAAATATTGAATTATTGCAAATTTTACCAAGTCAAATAGTTCTTTTCAGCATCCATTCGAAAGAGGAGACACTCAGCTATACGATGGGAAAAAATTGATTTTTGAAAACTAATTTAACTTTTCTACACTTTAAAAAATTAAATAATAGAAAAGTTAAATCTCAAAATTATCACTATATAGTTCGAGAAAAATAAGTTTTCACGTCTTTAACGTAACGAAATTCAATTTAAATTATATTTAAACTATACTATTGGATAGAGCATCAAAAGCTGAATAGACTACATATGTTTTGACAAAAGAATTGAAGCTATTAGTAATTGTAACAATGTATCCTAAAGATATTCAAAAAATCTTTTTTTTTATAGGCCATGTCAAAAACATTTGCTTTCGTGAGAAAAAGCCTCTGATTTCAAATAAAAATAGACATAATTGTTTTTTCCAAGGACATTAAGAGATAGAGCATCAAATTCTGCACAAGATAGGCTATTTTTTCATTTTCTTAAATGAATTACAAAAAATTTGAAAATATGATCTCACAAAATGAGCAAGGCGACGTAAAGTAGACAGTCAGACAACAAAACAGATTCCCAGTATTTTTGATAAAACTTTTTTTGAACAATGCTTTTTAATAACAAATAAATATGCGTTTTGTAGCGCACTTCACATGCGTCTTCATATGAGATACGACATAACTTTTTTTTGCACGTAATACGACTAAGAAAATCAGAGTTCAAACAAAAAATAATTTGTCGTCAGGCTGTCCACTTTACGTCGTCTTGCTCACTTTGTGAGATCATGTTTTCAAATTTTTTGTAATTCATTTAAGAAAATGAAAAAATAGCCTATCTTGTGCAGAATTTGATGCTCTATCTCTTAATGTCCTTGGAAAAAACAATTATGTCTATTTTTATGTGAAGTCAGAGGCTTTTTCTCACGAAAACAAATGTTTTTGATATGACCCATAGAAAAAAAGATTTTTTGAATATCTTTAGAATATATTGTCACAATCACTAATACAAGAGTCACTCCAAACATTTTTTTCGCCAAGTTTTCTTAAAAGACTTAATCAAGAACTAACTATACCGCTATAATGCCCAGACATATTTAGGATTATGTGCAAAATTTCAGACATCTAAGTTTTGTACTTTGTTATAGTCTATCATTTCTTTTATACAAGGTATATGCGATTTCCAATATGATACATAATGGGTTGGATCGTTGCGTTTTGTATATTAGTTTTCAATCTATTAATAAAATGTATTAAAAAAATAAAATACATTACAAGATGCAGCGTGAAAAGTTCTATAATTTACATAAGACTGCTTTTTTTATAATTGCACGTTTTGCTTTCAAAATGGGCAAAATCTTGAACGATTAAATTTCGACTCTATGAAAAAATAACATGAATGAGAAATTTCCTTTTTTTCTTATTTCATCTTTTTATCACTTACATAGATTGTAGAGCTTTTCATGCTGCATCTTTCGGTATATTTTATTTTTATTTATGAAAACATATTAGGTGGTAAAAAGATGAAAAAAGAAAAAACGAATTCATCTTGTATCGAAAAAAAAAGATCATTATTGCACGGCCGAAATATGGTAGCTCAATATTTTTATGCATTTTGAAAGCAAAATGTGCAACTATTAAAAAAAGCGGTCTGATGTAAATTGTAGAGTTCTTCACGCTACATCTTGTAATGTATTTAATTTTTTTAATACAACTTATTAAGAAATTGAAAACTAATATACAAAACGTGACTATTTAACTTGCCTCACTAGTATAAAAGAAATGATGGACTACAACAAAGCACAAGACTTAGAAGTCTAAAATTTTGCACATAATCCTAAATATGTCTGCACATTACAGTGTAGTTTTTCTTAATAAAGTCTTGTAAGTGAACAGAGCGAGAAAACTTTTGACGTGACCTGTGTAAATGAAACATGACCTTATAAAACAAGAAATTTTATCACTGAGTGATACTCAAAATTTTAATTTTTCTGTCAGTGTATAAACAGTGGTCTCAAATGTGTTTCTATATTTTCATATATACGTTTAATTCAACAGAACTAATCATGTCTATGGATAGAGGACTCTATAAACTATCTACAGATAATAATACAAATACAGCAGCACTTCTTATTGTTTTTAAATAAAATGAGTCCGGATACTTTTTGAACGTGCTACATATGTTAGAGTATGTTCATAATAGTGATATACACCTAATGTTTCTTGCTTGATCATGCCTCGTTTTTGAGTTCATTAATTTTCTCTTGTAAATAATTCAACTGATCTTTGACAAATATTGGTAGTCAACAGGATATAAGAAGAGGTCAGTGTTCTACTGACAAACCGGTTAGATTGACAGCTCATCATTTTTCATCACTAATTGACAGAAGAAGACGACAATGTATTGTCTGCAGTACAAGTATCAAACGACCAGAAAAAACCAACTAATCTCGTAGCAGATACAAATGTTCAAATTGTAATGTAGGCTTAGGCATTGCCAATTGTTTTCAAGACTCGATGTGATACTTTGAAAGTATATTAATAAACTTGAATAAAAAATAGAATCAATTAATTATTGAAATTTTATTTTTCTCTTTCTCTTTTTTTTATCTTCAAAAACTAATTCCGCTCTGAAAGAATAAATAATTAAACATTTTCACATAGTTATAACGCATGTCGATAAAATTTCAAACTTATTTGACTAAATCTTTTAGAATGTATAACAATAAATTGTTTAATCGAATTCTGTCGATAACGTTAATTATTTTTCTAGTTCAAGGCGAAAAAAAACAAATGCATTTAATAACAATATATATAACTATTCTAATGTTGTTTCTATTTCATATATTATTTGACCTAGACCTACTGACTGCATAGCGAAAATATACATTCTTTTATTTTTCTTTTATTTTTTTCTTTCTTATTCTATCGCATGTTTTCATCATAGGTTGCTATGTTTTATGTGCGCGTTTCTCTATCTATCATTTGAATTTTAACTTTTATAATAGAAATACACAGAGATAAATCGTTCTTCTTTAAACATAAATTATTATTCTAGCAAACAAATATGGTTACAGTTAATTATTGGGCAATTGCAACATGTACAGTAATAAATATGATTCTTGGAATGTTATGGTATTCTCCATTACTTTTTGGAACAACATTTGTTAAATTAATGAAAATGGATTATAATAAAATGAAAAATGATCCAACTGTACAAAAAACTGCTCAAAGAGGTTATATGGTATCAACAATTTGTCATTTATTAATGGCTATTGTAATGGCACATTTTATTGCATATACTCATACATCACGATCATTGTTTGATGGATTAAAATTAGGTTTTTGTTCTTGGCTTGGTTTTACATTAACAACAATGTTACCAAATCATATATTTTCAAAAGATGGTTTTTCATTGGGATTAGCTGCAATTAATATTGGCTATCCAATGGTTGGATTATCAACAGCTGGTGCTATACTTGGTGCTTGGCGTTAAAATAAAGACATTATGATATTTCTTGTGTGTGTGTGTGTGTGTGTCTTCTTATTAGAACTTTTATTCAAGATAAAACAAAAAAATATAGTATATTGAAGATTTTATGAAATAGATATTAAAAGAAAAAATAAAAAATAAAATTTTTTTTGTTTCTCTTCGAAATTAATGGAGGATAAAAGTATTTCGGTCAAATATGGTGGAACCAATCAAGATCATTTGTTCTTTCTTCTTCTTTTTTGGATCTCAAACGCAATAGACAAATAAGGGATATTCTATTTCGATATAAAAGAAAAATTAATGATAAATATTATTTTCTATTATTTTTTTTTGATATTAGATTATGACAGTGGATACAGCTGCTGTACCTGAAAATAAAAAAACGAATCCTTCCATCGTTCGTAGCTAAAAAAACAAGATTTTCTTTTTTTTTTTTGTTTTGTCTATAATATTTTTATGTTAATTAGACGAAACGTGATCGACGTGATGTTATACGGCAGGTCCGTGAAATTACTGGACTTGATGATAATTTTATAAATCAAACAATAGAAGCATGTAAAGACAGTACGGGACGTTATTCATTAGAACAAGTTATTAATTTATTATTTGACGATAATGTTCGTGTTTTTTGAAATAAAGAAAGACTTTTTATTTCGTTTTTTTTTCTCCTCTGAATTAGCTTCGAAATAATCTTCAACAATCAACTAATAATAATAATAATAATAATAATCAATCTCATTCTAATCCAAATGTACCTGTTCAAGCAACAGCTGCAGCATTATCACCACAAACATCTGATCGAAATCATGGTGATACAATTACAGATGATGTTATTGAAATTTCACCAGAAAATGATAATCAACAAGCAATTGATGATGATTTAGAACGGTTAGAATATAACTAAAAACAACTTCCCATGAGTTAATAATCATTTACTTGATTAATTAGCGAAAGATCATTATAATGAAA